CGCTCCAAGACGGCCCACGAGGCTCCCAAGACGGCCCCGGAACGGCCCAGGAGGGCCCCCAAGACGGCCCAAGTGCCGCCCAAGACGGACCAAGAGGCCCCAAGACGGGCCCAAGAGGGGCTCAAGAGGGGAACCGAGAACTGAAAAATCGAGCCCTCCGCCCCAGAAGGCGCCCAGGAGGCCCCAAAAAGGCCCCAAGAGGCCCCCAAGAGGCCCCCAAGACGCCCCAAGAGGCGCCCAAGAGGCCCAAAAGAGGCCCCAAGAGGCCCCAAAACGGCCCCCAAAACTCGGCTAGCCCACAACGGTGCGACAATATGGGCCGGCGGAATGAGCGAAGCGATTAAATAATTCTATCAATCCAGACGGAGCCAGTCCATACGGAGGCCAAACACTCCGTATGGACTTTTATTCCGTGTGAACTTCACCTCCGCCGGCTGCAGTGTGTCACCTCGGGCAAGACTGGGCGGCCCAGGAGTTAGACCCTGGGTGCCAGGATGCAGACCCAGAGCTTCGGTGGGAAGGTAGGGGAAGATAGGCGGCCCCGGGAAAAGGACCCAAGGCGGGGTAGGGAAGAGGAGAAGAGCTGCCCCGGGATGAAAACCGGGGTCAGCGGCCCTAGGATCAGGACCAGGGCGGGAGGGAAGAAAGAAAAGGCAAAGGGAAGAGAGCAGAGGAAAGACAGAACAGAAAAGAGAGAGGGAGCGACAGAAAGAAAGCAGGGAAAGGAAGAGAAATAAGAGAGACAAGGGAGAGGGGCGCGCGCGCGACGAGGACCCGGGGGTGAACACTGTGAACACACATCACGGCGGCGGGAGCAGGAGAGCCCAACATCGAATCGATAAGTCGTATCGGCGATCGACACGAATCGGATCGGCGGAAATCGGCAGCCGAGTCGGGAGAAGTCGAATCGACGGAAATCGGAAGGCTAGTATGCCTCCAGAGAGAAATCGGAACCCAAATCAGAATACCAAATCGAATCGGATCGGAATCGGAAGCCATCGAAATCTAATCGAATCGGAGGAGTCGAAACGAGCCCTGCCTGGGACGCCAGCCCGCCGCGGTCTGGGACGCAGGCACGCGGCACGGGCTGGAGCCGAGACGGCGGCGCTGCGGAGCAGCGCTGCGGAGGGCGCGTCCCGGGTACACGCGCGTGCGTAGAAGGTAATGCGCAGAAGGTAATGCGCAGAAGGCATCTATTCACCACCACCGTGCCAGGCCAGGGCCATCCTGGCCCTGGCACGGTGTATACGCCATTCTGGCATAGTGTATACACCATCCTGGGGCCCAGGATGGCCCTGGCCTGGCACGGTGGCGGTGTATAGATTCATTTGTCGGGGCTGAGCAATGATCAAAGATGACGTAGCGACCTTACGCTGCAGCGTACGCGGGCAGCCAGCGCGGCGCGCTGCATCGGAAGCGGGGGCGCTTACGCGCGACCTGCCGAGCGGAGTTTAGGCGCCAATGCAAGCGCAGACGACCCCGCTTTTCGGCGTCGCTCAAGCGTTGAGGAGCGATGTGAAGAAAATCCAGGAGGCCTCGCGCGGCAACTCGAGACCGCATTTACTTTGGATTCACGTCCATCGCCGCGCGAACGTCGACCCATAGCTTACGGAACTGACGAGTGGACTAGATCATGCTAGTCTTACGCGCCGCGCGAGGCCTCCAGGATCTTCCCCCACAATCGGCGGTGGACAAACCTCCCTTTAGTCAACCTCCCTTCAATGAGAACGGCCTGGGATCGAAACCGACGGACCTGGACCCGCAAACAATGACGGCCGCGACGCCCTCTCGCGAACCGAAAACGGCCAATTCGCTAATCGACGTGTCAGGGTAGGAGGTCTGTCCACCTCCGACACACGGAGCGACAACAACCGCAACGACACGCCGCCGCAGGGAAAACCCATCGGCGTGGCGGTGCCGAAGAGGCGCCAGGCCTCCGGGCAGGAGCGGAGGCGCAGCCCGCTGCCGGACTCTCAGGGGCGGCGCTTCACTGGAAAGTTGTAGGGGAGGGGGGGGTTGGGCGAATGGACCGTCCCTGGGTCCTCGGCTGAAGTGTGACTCCACGACGCGGACTCTTTCGGGGGCGCGCTGACAATCATTAGCGATCCATGGATTTGGCGCGCGGTCGCCAAATCCATGGATCGGGGGAGGTGCCCTCCCCAAGATGCGGCCGCTGCCGCCTCGCTCGGCGGCGGAAATCCGCGATTTCCAATGGAAACAGGACCCGTCGCTAATCCACGCCCCCTTGATCTATGCTTGCGATCGCCTGATTCTTGCTGGGCTCTCAGGAGTTAAAGGCAAATGAATGATGACTTCCCCCCTGGTGCCCAGCGTGTCTTGCAATCGACGTGCCCCTCGCCCCCTGGGGAAGAAGGCCGTCAGGCTCCGCCTGGGCTGTCGGTCCCAACTTTATCATAAAGCAGCGGCTCTCCCGCTTGGTGCTTCTTTGGACGCCCGAAATGGGTACGGAAAGAATGAGTACAATGCCCAACAACAAATGTTGTCCCAAACCAACAGCGGCCGCTGTTGGGCAGGCGGCCTTCTGTCTCGAATGGGCACAGGCCGCGGCGGCGGGGACAGCGAGTCCTGTTCAAAATGAACCAAATCCGCTGTTGGGCATTGTGCCCATTCTTTCCGTGCCCATTTCGCTCGTGTAGAGCTTCGCAGCAACGTCTTCAAAAGAGCGGTCCGTCCGCGAAGCGGTTGGGAACCAGTCTGCCAAGGAATGAACCACGCGCTCGCGGGGGGGCGCCCTCGCCATCTGTTCCGACGAGGAGCCGGCTCCGCCACATGTGGGGACATCCTCGCGCCTGGGCTCGTTGCCCACAGCTTGTTCAAAACGATCGGCTTCCCCCTCCCAGGGGGGGAAGCCGACTTCTCCATGAAAGCATGAAAGGGGGGGAAGCTCGACGCCTATACGTTCTCCATGAAAGCAGACACTCACGACGCAGGCTTTTGTGTCGTTGTTGCAGCCGTATTGGGTTGTTCAGGTGAGATCACGGCTGGACTACGCTAGTGAATTCTAAATGAGTGTGTTCAGGTCCATCTTAGGTTTGAGTTCGGCCACTGTCGTTCCAGCGACGATGATGAATTCAACCTAACGGGGAATTGCAACTTACCAGACAGCTCTTCGGTCAGGAATGAGCTACAACGTTCGGGGACTCAGATTTGCATTTGCAAGGTAAACCAGGTGATACAGATGGCTTTCTGGGTGGAGCTTGTCCTTGAGCCAAGGCGCTGCCACCTCTGCGCATACTCGCGGCGTGGTTATTATTCATCCCTTACCCATCCAGCGATATCGAAAACATACAGGAACAAACACTTGCGCAAACATTATCGGAGGTCCTCGCGGATGTCTTGAATCGGCACTGTACCCTCCTCCCCGGCGCGTGGAGCGCGCCAGCGGCGGCGAAAGAGGCGCCGCCTGGGGGCCCCAGCGCGAACCTCCGAGAGATTTGTTGTAAGGCTTGTTGTGGGACGCACAAGGACATACTAGTACTGTATGTTCTCCTTGGAGGCGTGCGTCCGACGCGAACATCTAGTATACCCATCTTGTAGTGTATCGTTTCCCGAGCGGCGTGGCCAGAAAGCGCCCGCCACGACGCATATACTATAAGATTTCTCGGTGCGCGCGTCGCCCCTGGAGGGACGACGCACATATGTGAAGGGGCCCTGGGACACACAAATAAATACACACAAATAAAAATATCCCCCATATTTTCCTATATTTTCTGGGTTTCTGTCTTCCCCCCCACTTCCCATATTTTCCCATATTTTCTGGGAATCGCCGATTAATTGTGTCTGTGTGTTTCTTTCCCTCCTGAATCTGGTATGAAGATGTTGGGGTGACACCGATGTTCAGGGCCTCGCCGGTCGAGGCAACGAGTGGCAACATCAACACGAGCGGCAGAGGACAGGAGGAGGGGAACGCGACTCCCTAACCTAGGGCTCCCAACTTCGCGCTTCGCGCTCCGCGAAGCGCGCAGCGCGAATAACTTCGCGCTCTCGCGCCGCCCCCCCACAGGGAGAAAAGGAGGACGAGGAGGAGATGGAGCAGGAACGAGGACCGCGAAGCGCGAAGCGCGACTGACTTCGCGCCCTCGTGGGAGCCCTTGCTAACATACAGTGGAGGCCAGTCCACAAGAAGCCTTCCACAAGAAACAACCCCGAGACCCCAGGGCGTTCCTTGATGTTGGGTGTGGGAACGTCGCGCTTTCCACGGCAAAACCGTCGAAACCCAAGAAACCCAGGGCACCCTGGAGGCAAGCAGGGTGCTTCTCGGCATGAGCCTCCACTGTATCCGCCGATGAGATGCTTTCAACCCGCGGCCCCGGAAATCCCAACCCCTACGGCGGGGGGGAAGCGTTGATCCTGGCCCCATCTGCGCCCGACCTTCTGGATACACTCCAGCTGAGCCCTCCTCCCTCTCCTCTCTTTTGAAGGGGCCCACAAACACACAAATAAACACACACACAATAACAGGATTCCCGATAGTTTCCCATATGTTCTGGATTTTTGTCTTCCCCCCCACTTCCATATTTTCTGATATTTTCTAGGGAATCGACGTTTAATTGTGTCTCTGTGTTTTTGCCTCTGCTGATCTTTCTCCACCCGCGACCCCAGAGCTCCAACACCTCCCCCTGGGCACCTCTGTTCGCCCCGTATCCGCTTCTGTTCCCAGTCCTTGGGCCCGACGACGGGCCCAGGCCGAAATCGAGGAAGGACGCTGAGAATCGAACAAAACCGATTCGAGGCCTCCTAGATGGGTCGGAGTAGATGGGGTCGGAGGATCGCACAGCATCGCCGATGCATCCGCGATGCATCGCCGATGCATCGGCGACATTGGCGATGCATCGGCGACTCCAGCGTGAAGAATATCGGGCTCCACATCAAACCGCATCGCCGATGCATCGACGATACGGCGCGATCCCCCGATCCCATCTACTCGGACCCCATCTAGGAGGCCTAGACAGATGCTCGGCGATGTGGGATGCCAGCGCCTGGGAGCACGCCCGCGAGAAGTACTCGAAGTCGACGCGGCCGGAGCCGCGGCGGTTGAAGCAGCTGTGCCACGCCTCCTCGGGGCACCGCGGTGCGGACTGAGTGCTGAGCAGGGCTGAACCTAAACGGTGTTTTTCGTTTCCGTTGTTTTATTTTTCGTCTTCAACGTTTCGCCTTTGCTTCCCCTTGAATTCAAAACAAAACGCAAAACAAAAAAACCCACGACATGGCAAAAACATCGTTTAGGTCCAGTCCTGGGTGCTGAGTTTGCTCGATCAACGATCCCGGCATCTCATATGGAAGCCTGTGGCAGAGCCCCTCGCGTCCAAAAGACTCCATCGTGCTACCATGCCCAGAGGCCCTCTCGCACTGCGAAACACACACGACGTGATTTGTTTGTTGATTCTCACATCTGGGGGCCCTCTAGAGGCCTCCTAGATGGGGTCGGAGTGGATGGAGTCGGAACATCGCGCCGCATCGGCGATACATCGGCGATGCACCGGCGACGTCGGCGATGCATCGGCGCCGTCCGCGTGAAGAAAATCGGGCTCCGCATCGAGCCGCATCGGCGATGCATCGGCGATGCGGCGCGATCCTCCGATCCCACCTAGGAGGCCTAGACCCTCGCTGGGCCCCAGGACCTTCAAACATCGACTAAGGATAAAAAGCTGATCCTGGGGAATGGGTCGATACCTCTGAGGGTTCACGTTGGGGAAAAAAACACAGCCAAACACTCGGCGGCGAGCGAGGGGGGGAACTGAGAAGGATAAGGCCTTCTCAGAAGGCTCGGAAGTCGCCGGCCTTCTGGGGAGTTTTCTGAGCCTCCCGATGACCAGCAACAAATTCTCAGAAGGCGCGAGGGCTTCTGAGAAGTCCCGCCGCCTTCCGAGAAGGCCTTCTCCTTCTCACTTCCCCCGCTCGCTCGCCACCGAGGCCAGGAAGGAAGGGGCATTTCTAGCCTCGGCGAGCCGGGCAAAACCAGGCTTCCCCTGGGCCCAGATCTCTGAGGAACGCGAAGGCTGGAGCCCCCCTCCCGAGCCCGAATCGGCCCTTGCGCCAGCGCCTCGACTGCAGAGCGAGCGGAAGACCACCTGAGCTGACGCCCTACCAGACCACCCTAACCCAACCCGAAGACCCGAATTTCGGGTTGGGGGGGGTACGAGCTTGTACTGCAAGTTTTTTCAATGTTCCGCGTCCCCCCCCCCCCACACTGGAAATGGAGGAGGGCAAATCGGGGCCTTCGGGTTGGGCTCGGGTGGTTTGGTGGGCGGTGATGAGCGGCGATCAAGAACAAGCCCTACTGGAGATGACGCAGCGACCTTCCGGGAAGCTTACGCGGGCCGCCAGCGCGGCACGCTGCAGTGAAGGCGGGGGCGCTCACGCGCGAGCTTACGCGGGCAGCGTACGCACGAATGTCGGCGCCGACGACCCCGTTTGTTGGCGTCGCTCATCTGTGCAAACAATCGCCCAAACCTGGCTACAGTCTGAGCGTTGACCCAAGGAACCCCAAATAAGGAACGCGGCCCCTGCTATCCACAAGTTGAACTTCGATTCCCCATCGAAAACCGAAGGAAAACCCAAGGCAAACTGTGAAGCAATCAAGGAACACGGAGCCCCACCCCAACGAAAAGGGTTCCTTCTTCAGGGCCCCGACTGTATAAGCGGGACGGTGGGGCAACAACCTCCGCGGAAACTGGCGCGGCTGGGAGGACGAGCGCCGGTGACGCGAAGCACCGCGCTTCCGACGAGGCGCGGGGAAGCGCAGGTGTCCCGGGATTTGGGAGGCCAAGCAGGGGAGAGCTCGAGAAGCACAGCGAAACTCGGCGCTCGTGGCGGGGACGGGGACGGTCCTCGATCGTGTCGTAGACGCTCAGGACATGCGAGGCGAAATTCCTCCCACGCCCAGTGCATCCCCCCATCTCGTGGAGCCGCGCCGCAACGTGCACTGCGTGTGTCACTAGATTTGACACCTGCTTGCTCAACCTCGCCGTGCCACGGACATCAAAATCAGCCCCGTCGGCACAACGGGTACCGTCGAAACTATGAGCGCGTTACTGCTGCTGTTTGTGTGCCTGTCCTCCATGGCTAAACTGCTCCATCTCGAGATCCGTGCGCCGCATCGATTGCGATGGCTCCTCCTCTCTCCTCTCTCTCCTCCCTACTCCTCCTCGACGATTCCTCGTTAAAGGCTCCCTTCTCCTACCCCATGATCAGCCTCAATCCTTCTCTTTCCCCCCTTATCTTCTTCCCTCCGTGCTCCTCCTTCCTCCTACCCACCTCCTGTCTCCAATTTCGACCGTTCTCCATCTCCCCTCCTGCTTCACCAACCACCTCCTGTTCCCACCTCCGTCAATCCCCCCTTATCAGACCTGCTCCTCCCTCCTCCCTCCTGTTCCAACCTCCATCATCCTGCTGCCCCCCCCCATGTCTCCTCCTCCTCCTCCTCCTCCTCCTCCTCCTCCTCCTCGTCATCCCTCTTTTCCTACATTCTCTTCCTCCTCACCCTCTTGCTCCTCCCTCCGTTACAGTCAAAACGTGTTCTAAGGACGGTTAGTAAGGACGCAAGACCCTTGGAGGCCGTTTTTTGGGCTGCGGCCCCGTGAAACGGCAAAGGACTGGCCGCAGAGGCAAGGACACAGAGGTACCCTAGATGTAGGCGGCGCGTTGACCATATCTCCTCCTGCAAATGCTCGTCCTCCCAACTCCAACGTCCATCCTCCTCCCAATCCCCCTTCTGGAGATCCACGTGACCCCCTGCAACCATTCCTCCTCCCATCTTCCTCCTCCTCTTCCTGCTCCACCATTATCCTTTTTCTCCTTCTCCTCCTCCTCCTCCTCCTCCTCCTCCTCCTCCTCCTCCTGTCCTTTCTCTCCTCCTCCTCCTCCTCCTCCACTCTCCCTTCTCTTCTCCCGCCTCCCTCATGTTCCTCCCCTCACTCCTTCCAGAGTGAGCCCTCCTGACCCCCCCCCCTGGGTCTCTCAGAGGCTCCCCGAATCCCCGAACACCCCTCTCCCTCTCTCCGCTATGCCTCCCCCTCCTCTCTTCGCCTCTCCCTCTCCTCGTCCTGGCTCCTTATTCTGCCGCCTCCACTCGGCTGCTTGTTCATCCGCCTCACTGCGCCCCCTCCCCAGTGCTAGTGCCGTTGTCCCAGCCACGCCCCCCCCGCCTCGTCACCCGAGGGGCTGGCTGACGAAGAACGAGCCCCTCCTCCCTCGCCCTCCGTTTGCCCCCCTTGAATCAAGCATCGAGACTCGAAGCACTTGGCCGGTTGAGGTCTCCTGTCAGGCCCTCAAGGGCCAGCAAAGAACCCCGAGGGCCCTTGGGACCTCCGGAGGCCCAACGGGGAAGAGATGGAAAGCTATCGCACTTTCCTCCTCCCTCCCCTGAACTCGGGTACCAAGTAACGAAGCCCTTCTTGGGCACCAAAGGCGCCTGGATGCACGAGGAGCGATAGAGGAACAACCGTGGAAGGAACTAAGGAACAACGAGCCCAATCCGAAGACGAACTGGTCCTGCTTTCAGCGCGTTGACTGCATCGTCACACATGAAGCGCTGCCCACTCCATCCCCTAGTTATCCCTAGGAGGCTGCCGAACGCGGGGTCGACCTCGTCCAGGGTTATGAAGCTGTTCCTGTCCATGTCGAAGGCGTCCCACAGCTGCCGCGGGCAGTAGCCGACGCCGAGCTTATGGCACGCCCTGCAGAACTCATAGAACGACAGGCGGCCGTCACCGTTGATGTCGAGGTCGCGCCAGGCACGAGACATGCCTTCGAGGAGGACGCAAACCAGCCACCAGCACCAGCCCTGGCCAGACCCGTCCTGGGCCCCAGGCCGAGGCGTGCAGCCTCATACTACTGGGCCTGGTCAGGCTTCAGGTCGCGTGCAGACAGCGCCCTCGGGTAGTCCTGAAAGGGGCCATGGGACGCGCAAATAAACACACACACAAATCCCAGGATTCTTAATATTTTCCAATATTTGTTAGGATTTCCGTCGTCCCCCCACCTCCCAAATTTTCCCATATTTTCTTGGGACTCGCCCATGAATTGTGTCTGTGTGTGTGTGTGTCTTTGTTCCTCTCCTCTAAGTCCTGGCTGGCCTCATCGAGGCAGCAGCATTTTTTTTGCCACGTTGGATCTCAGGGCAACGCTTCGGGCTGCGCACGGTCAGCCCCCCCCCCAAGGCTGCATCGGCTGGCCTCAGCGCTGGCCCCCCGAGCAGCCCGCGCTGGCCTCCAGAGGCACCACCCCTGTGGCGCGGAGCGCCCCACCCCCAGGGCGGTCTCAACGCCCAATCCTCAGGTCGGGCCTGTCCCCCTACAGGGGGATTCTGGGCGAAAATGAAAAAATTGTCAAACCATACCCCAAAAATGCTCGAAAATGCTGAAACAAACCTCGTCCCCATATTTTTTTGACGATTTCTGAATTTTCCTTCTGTAGAAGATCAAGCCTGACTTAACCCCATCCCGAAGGCGCGGATCGGGGACCTGCTGACGCAGGTCAATGCAAACCCTGGTCAGTCAGGCCCTGCAGTATCATGCAAGATCCTCCAGAATCCTGCAGGATCCTGCGCCCAAACACGGGTCAGTGCGCCACTGGCTCTGCACGATCCTGCAAGACCCGGCGCTCTGGCCGACCCCCGTTTGTATTAACCCCCGTCTCTTGAGCCCCGAGTGGTGCCCCCCAGGTTGCCGCCAAGGGCGGCGCCGGGGTGATGAGCCTGGCCTGGAGTACTCGGGGGGCCTGTTGAGGCCAGCTGGGACTACCCGGAGAGGGCTGTTCGTGCGCAACACGCAGCCTTAGCCTGGGATCCGACGTTGCGAAAAAATGCGACATTGCAAAACATCACGACCTGAACCATAAACCGCCCCATCTTTCTGCTGTATTTGTGTGAGCCGGATCGATCTCTGATGGTCCCCACGGGCCCTGTGGTAACAACGGCAACGCCTGGATCTCAGGGTACACCGGTCGCGGGCCCAGGACTGCCCTGGCCAAAGTCGGTGCAGGCGAATGCGGCAGCCTTAGGTCGGGCATGTCCCTCCACAGGCGGATTTTGGAGGAGAAATGAGAAATAGCCAACTGCTGTTCAAGCATAACCCAACATAGTCGAAACATCGTCCCCATCTCATTTTGGGACAATTTTTGAATATTCCCCCTGTAGTTAGGCGACGAGCCCAGGGGGGAAATGAGAAGGAGAAGGCCTTCTCAGAAGGCCGCGGGACTTCTTAGAAGTCCGGGGGGCTTCTGAGACGTTTCCTTGGCCTATTTCGAATACAGACAGAACTTCTCAGAAGCCCTCTCAGAAGTCCAGAAACTTCTCAGAAGCCTCGGAAGTCCCGCCCCTTCTCATTTCCCCCCCGCGCCCGCCGCCGAGTAGTGGGACAGGCCCGACCCAAGAGTAGCTGGTGCCTCCCGACCTTTGTACTTGTTCAGCAGCACTCTCCGGACGGCGCGCCGCGCCTCGGCAGCCTCCTCGGCGCGGCTGCAGTCAGGGCACTGTGGCGTGGACCGGTCGACCGATCAGCCAGGGAGGACGATTGTAATTGCTGCGACGATTCGTCCTCCTCCCTCCTCCTCCCTCCTCCTCCATCCCCTCCTCCTCCTCCTCCTCCTCCTCCTCCTCCTCCTCCACCTCTTCCTCCTCCTCCTCCTCCTCCTCCTCCTCCTCCTCCTCCTCCTCCTCCTCCTCCTCCTCTCCTCCTCCTCCTCCCCTTCCAGTGTTTTTGGCGTGCGGGCCCGCGCTGGGCCTGGCCCTACAGACACCCTGCAGGTCGGCAAGACCGAAGGCGCCCGTGCCAGCCTGGCTTGCCTACTCCGAGTTTCTTAATAAGCGTCGAGGGGGCGTCACCCCGCCGACAGCCCCACATCGTCCCCCGTCTCGGGCAGCCACCGCGCTCCGAAGACGCTCCGACCCCCGTCGCGGCGCGACGACAAGGCGAGGTTGGCCCCCGTCGGGGGGGTACCCCCCACGCTGATTAAGAAACCCAGAATAGTCAGTTACTCGAATGAGCACGTATTAGGAAGAAACTCCTGGGAGGTCTTCGTAGGAACGCCTAAGGGCCATTAAGCCGGATTTGGGGACCAGATAAGCTGGAATAGGCTGGTTGTTGGACCACGGATATACCAGCGCCGATGCTGAATTCAACCTCCCAGGAGTTGCAACCGAGCATCTAAATTATCTTGGCGAAGGGCCCAACCATGTGCAGCTGTGTGTAACGCAGGTGTGGGTATAGTCCTCGGTGAACCTCCCTCTGAGACCACGACGCGTGTGACGGGTGTGCCAACATTGGCACGGGTACGGCATGCGGACGCTGCCACAGGAGCCGTCGGTGCAGCCCCATCTGAGGACACGAAACGCGTGAGGGGTGCGCCGAAATGCAGGGTGGAACCACGTGCGGGCGCTGCCACCAAGGCCTTTGGTGGCCGCGAAACGTGGAAGGGGTGCGCCGAAATGGAAGGGGAACTGCATGCGGAACCTCATGGGAACTACTTGCCGCGGGGGCCTTGAATGGAGCACCCTATGGGGCCACGAAACGTGTGAGGGGTGCGCCGAAATGGAGGTGGACCTGCATGTGGACCCTGCCACTGGAGCCTACGGCGGAGCACCGTATGGGGACACGAAACGTGTGAGGGGTGCGCCGAAATGGGGATGGAACTGCATGCTGACCCTGCCACTGGGGCCTTCCGCGGAGCACCCTATGGGGCCACGAAACGTGTGAGAGGTGCGCCGAAATGGAGGTGGAACTGCATGCGGACCTTGCCACTGGGGCCTTCGGCGGAGCACCCTATGGGGCCACGAAACGTGTGAGGGGTGCGCCGAAATGGGGATGGAACTGCATGCGGGCCCTGTCACTGGGGTCATCGGCGGAACACAACATGGGGCCACGAAACGTGCGAAGGTGCGCCGACATGGGAGTGGAACTGCATGCGGACCCTGCCACTGGGGCCTTCGGCGGAGCACCCTATGGGGCCACGAAATGTGTGAGGGGTGCGCTGAGATGGAGGTGGACCTGCATGCGGACCCTGTCACGAGGGCCTTCGACGGAGCACCCTATGGGGCCACGAAGTGTGTGAAGGGTGCGCCGAAATGGGGGTGGAACTGCATGCGGACCCTGCCACTGGGGCCTTCGGCGGAGCACCCTATGGAGCCACGAGACGTGTGAGAGGTGTGCCGAAATGGAAGTGGAACTGCATGCAGGCCCTGCCTCTGGGGCCTTGGGCGGAGCACTCTATAGGGCCACGAAACGTGTCAGGGGTGCGCCGAAATAGGGGTGGAACTGCATGCGGACCCTGCCACTGGGGCCTTCCGCGGAGCACCCTATCGGGCCACGAAACGTGTGAGGGGTGCGCCGAAATGGGGGTGGAACTGTATGCGGACCCTGCCACTGGTGCCTTGGGCGGAGCACCCTATGGGGCCACGAAATGTGGAAGGGGTGCGCCGAAATGGATGTGGAACTGCATGCGGACCCTGCCACTGGGGCCTTGGGTGGAGCACCCTATGGGGCCAGGAAACGTGTGAGGAGTGCGCCGAAATGGAGGTGGAACTGCATGCGGACCCTGCCACTGGGGCCTTCGGCGGAGCACCCTATGGGGCCACGAAGCGCTGTAATGGGTGGGTGAAACGCAAGGAGGAGGGAGGAGAGGGAGGAGGAGGGAGGACAGGGAGGGGGGAGGGGGCAGCGGGAGGTGGCAACGCGGGGCGCTGTCTCTTCAAAACGAGGACCCAACACCACAGGATGGTTGGGAAAAACACGGGACGAGCATTCGGCGGCTTGGCGAGCACAATGCCGACCAACGTGCCATACTCGCCGCCTCCGATCCCAACACAACCACTTCCCTCGTTCACCTCTCTCCCGTGCAGGCCGAACGAACAGGTGCACCTGGAAGCGTGGCCGTACTACAATGTGGCAATGCGTGCATCCAATAGTGACTTAAGACGCAAAACGGACAAAGCTTCTGTACCGCGTAGAGCGATTCTAGGGCGACAGTCCATGAGGCCTCGAGCCAGGTTGAGACTATAGGATAAATTATTCGGTCGGTTCCGAATCATAATATGAAACAACTCATGCAATCGCACCCGCACCAGATGGGTCCCAAACGCAGTCTCAAGCGGACGAATATGGCTTCACAAAACTACAGAGACCTGGCCTGCACGTAGATCTGCGGCCACACACGCAGCCTCTATCCTTTCCGGTTTGCACCGACACTGCGGTCAGGACAGCTTCAGTTGTTGCACGTGGAGCGCTGGGCCCCATCGTGCAAGAGAAAACTGCATAAACACACACTCTTGGCGCTCCGCGCGGATTCCTTGGATCCGCGCCGGACCCCCCTCCCCGCGCGCGGAGCGCGCCAGGGGCGGCCCCGGAAGGGCCGCCAAAGGGACCCAGCGCGGACCTCAGCAGTCCGCGCGGAGCGCCAAAAGTTTGTATGTATGCCGTTGTTTCTTCTTCGAATCGGGCTACAGTAGGGGCCCTTCCACAAGAAACTTTCCACAAGAAACCCAACCCTGCGACCCCAGGACGTCCATTGACTTTTGGTATGGGAGCGGCGCGCTTCCCATTGCAAAACCCTCGACACCCAGGGCACCCTGGAGGCAAGCAGGGCGTTTTTTGGTATGTGTCTTCACTGTATGCGGCGCTTCGTCGCTCGCTGGTATGTCTTGACTGCGCTGGGGCCTGGGGCCTGGGCCAGGATCGCACTGGCGGCGCGTGGTGGCGTGCGGAAGGCTCCGTCTGGGGCGAGGGCCCCGGGGCCGATGTGTTGAGTCGTCTTGGCGTCGTGCGGGAAAAGTGCTGTGCCCAAGGCCTGGTGGGGACGGGACTGCAAGCATGCCCAGACTTAGGGCGGGCATGTCCCCCTGCAGGCAGATCTTGGACGAATAAGAAAGAATACTCCAAATATAATCAAACAATCCACAAAATTAGCATCAACAAACCGTCGCCAGACAATTGTTATACTGTTTTTGAATAGTCCTCCTGTAGAGGGGCACGCCCGACTTAAGCCTAGAGGGAAGAAACTCCAGCCCGATACAATCAGAGTCCATGTCAAGGACGCGTGGTAAGGACGCAAGACCCCTGGAAGCCGAAGTTGGGACATTTTGGGCGACAGGCGGCTAACCCCAGGGACGCAGAGGCGGAGGCAGGCAGGGACCCAAGGGTACCCTAGAGAAAAGCGCGCGTCCTCACTATGGATTTTGACTGTAACAAGCACACCGACAAGCGAAGTCGTTTAGCAAACGCGCCCACGGAAGGAATCGAACAGGGCGGGGCTCGGGCACGCGAACACGCATGCAATCACAGAAGTGCGCAAGTCCGCAAGAGCGCAAGCCCGCAAACTTGCAACCCAAGCGTCGAAGGCAGATGGCAGCGCGCACAAGGAGACCCTGAGGAGGACGCTGAAGCAAAGATGGGCCCGACTCGACACTGAAACCGGATATTTTGTATTACAAAATCTCGGACAGCATGCCCTCCCCTCGCCCTCCCCTCCCCACACCTGAGGGGGTTCGATCGGGGGGACCCGCTCAGGGGGAGAGAATCCCTCGACCTGGAATCGGCGATGCATCGCCGATAGACGGAGATAAGCCCCCGATCGCGCGCTCCTGGGCGGGGTGGGGGAATAGGACACCCACCAGGAATCAGTGTGCGATGGGGGGCCGATGCATCTCCAGTGAGCTTATCCCTCCTAACGTTGCCTCCTGGTTCTCGCGTCATAGCTCGACTCTCCTACTACGGCCGTTCGAGACGATCCTGGCACCCGCAGCTGCTGGAGCGCATCCCGAGGCCGGGAAACGTACACATCCCACGAAGACACCAGAAAAAGCCTCGAGCCTCGGCCCCGAAACGTTTCCCCCCTGAGCCGCTACACCCCCCCTGAGGCTGCCCCCTGGATCTCTCGCAAGAGAGCCCAGCATCGACTCGATGTCGAATTCGGCGGACATCAGAAATCGAATCGGCGGAAATCGACAGGCTAGTACGGCTCATAAGGTCACCGAAGTCCAATTCG